AACCTACATAGACGTGGTGGAGAGAGAGAAATACATAACTTAAAAATATTCAACCTCATGCTCTGATACTAAGTTTGTAATATCGTGGTTTACCCCCTAAACGTAATCGGCATCGTCGTTCTTTTCAAGGACTAAGACTAGCCTCTTAGTCTCATGTAATTACATCATAGGTAAAGCGACAAAAAATTAAAACATTTTTTTAACTACTTGGAGGTTTACATAGACCTCTATATACACATAATAAATATTCATATCGAGTATACATAGACCTTTCGTATAGGAAGGTTACATAGCCTTCTACTTTTATTGCACATATATATATATATATATATATATAATATAAAAATAGTCTCAACAATTGTCTCATCTCATACCATCTAAACGATTATCACAATATGGTCATAGCCCTAACATAAATCCAACAATACCACATAGGTCGTACAAAAGTATAGTACTCAATTGAAAAGGAGGGAAGTGAATGAATCTTTAAGATCATAACTAGTCCCTAAGCTAGATGATGGTATTGCCCTCAAAAGTTGAGAACCTACCCCACTTGGATTAAAGGAAGAATCCAAGCATTCAACAATGTTGCCTTCAAAACTCTTCAACAACCAAAACCTAAAATGTTTGGGGAAAGGGGGAAGAAAATGGGGTTAGTAATCCACATGTACTAAGTATGAGACATTATGCACATATACAAGCAAAACATGCTAAAAAGGGACTTTTGTCAAAACATGTCATTTTACCCCTTCAGAGACCTAGTTCAAACCAAGAAAATTATATCAACCAAACAACAAGCTTACTATCTCAACAAGTAATACTTATCCCATCATACTTGAAACCATGATTTATTACAACCCTATCATCAAGGAATAATATCACAAAAATGAATAAGAGTCAAGCGTATCATAATAAGCAAGACAACTAATCATAAGTCCTTATCAAGTGAACAAGTTCAATGACCAAGCAAAGCCCCATAAACTTACTCACTCAAGTATCCTCAACAAGAAAACATGATCAATGTCTAACTTTACATAACATGGCATTTAGGTTTACATTTCATCAAATATTAACATTATAACCCAAGGCATATTCCTAAATAAACTAACCAACATATAGTATCAACAATGTGCCATGGTCATCGCATATACATCATATATTATCATAACAGAAACATATATAAGAACCTCCTCCTTAGACTCCCCTCAAGGCTAAGTAGTGCAATGTTTAGGTAGAGTCTCATACCCCTACCTATACTAAGCTAGACCTTTTAGGTTATCCAAGTTATAGTTCAAGTCCTTTAATATGTTTTACCTTTTTGGGAACATCTTTCCCTAACCGACATAGACCACATGAGCTAGTGTGGAATCCGGTGACATAAAACTCTAAACCAAAAGAAGGCGGACTACTTGCCAAGGTAGTACCAAAACATGAAGCATAGCAACTACGTGGATCCACTAGCTAGTATTCGTATGGGGGCAACATACTTCAAGAACTAGAAAATATAGTTGGAACCCTCTCTATGCTCCATGCATCGTAGTATCCAATATCAAGAGTAATTTAGTGTTCCTACCTTCCCTATGTGTGAAGAAGCAGTCCTCAATCTAGTTCATTCGGTGCTAAGCTAGAGTCCCTTTTTGAAATGTCTTTAAGACATTAATTATCAATCATTGATTAGTTTAGGTAATAGGTTCTAACCCTTGTATAATCATCATCATCAATAGCTCAATAAGAATTGTATGAGTATAGGTCCTTTCGTCACAATTCATATAAGTGAGGTTAACATATTCGCATTTCATAGAATATCAAGGCACATTGACAGTTTTCAGCATCCTTATATCATATACACCTTAATAAACCTCACAATATAATCAAGATATTTCAATTCAACAAGTTACCACCCTATAATCCTTTTATAAGGCATACTCCAATGTAACATCACGAATTAACAACAATTAATCACAATTGGAGTTAAAGATAGAGATTCTAAGACTTACAAGTCTTCCTTA